GGGTATTAGCATGGAGACAATGGATAATGGGTCCTCTATCATAGATCCTGAGACGGTTTGACTTCTATGAGACAGAAGAAGAAGTTGTTATACAATGGGTAGGCACTCATGACATCTCGAAGTGCTTCGATCTCCATTTTCTATCATCTGTCCTACAGAGAAAGAAGGAGAGCTACAAAGGGAAGGCCATTTTGATCTCAACCCCACCAGAGGAGCATGTCAAACCTCTGGCAGATCATGAGATCTATGATTTTGAGGCATGGCTATTTGAGAAGAAAGCCAAGGAATCAGTGGATCCAAACTTCACTGTTGGTGAATCTCCTACTCCAGATAACCAATGATTAGCTATGATGGAGCTAATCAAGGAATAGAGAGCCTCTCTGCTTGAGGAAACTTCTCTTGAGGTAATTCCAACTCCCATTCCTTCCCCACCTAAATCACCTCACCCAACATCACCTGCTGGATCACCACCTGCCTCCCCGTCACCTCCCAAATCCCCTTCACCCAAACCTGTTACACCATACTCAACTCCCCCTCAATCTCCCCTCAAACAGAACACCCAAACCTCACCGCATCAGAAAACCCCCTCCCCCAAGAAACCCCCATCCAGATCACCCTCTCCTTGTAACTAGAAATCCTTAACCAAAAACCGATTCCCTTCACCTCCTACACAGAAAACCCCCACTCAACTGAACCCCTCCCTCAAAAAACCCAATTCTGTTACCTCCTCTAAACAGAAAACCCCCCATCACTCACTATCCCAAAAACACTCTACTCAGCAATCTATAGCTTCCAATCCTGTTTCTCCCAAGAGGATGCCAAAGATTCATGTTGTTTCCTCAGACAGCAATGATGGGTTCATTGTTAGATCTTCCTCTGATGGAAAATTTACTTCTAAGAGAAGGAATACCCCACCAGAACAGCAGCAACTGAAATCTCCTACACTTCAGAAAACCTATGCCAGAAGGCCACCAATGTCTAAGGCTAGAGGTCTGGAAATTCCTGGTTTTGGAGATGAACAACCAGAAATCCCTTTCAGAGATTTCATGAAGGCAGCCAGTGAATTTGGAGGCCAAGTCCTTGATAGTCTCCAGAAGCTCATTAAGATCAACAAAGGTGCTCACAACCAGCTCTCACATATCACTGAGCACTACAGGATTGACCTGCCCTGCATCTCTCAGAACATTGATGCCCTGAAAGCCTCTCTCCTCAAGTTTACAAAATCCACCACTGCCAAGACTGATGCACTCTCTAGCTCAGTGAAAAGCATTCATCATGTCCTCTTCTCCATCCACCAGACTCTAAGCGATCAAGATGCAGCAATTTCCAAATTGTCTGAAGAAGTTGATGATCTGCAATGGTCAGATACCAAGACAAAGGAACAACTGCAGAAAATTGAGGAACTGTACTCTGCCCATTCTCAGCAGACTCTGTCCCTCATCTCAGATGATAAAGAAAGATACCAGAAGTTGATACTCATGGAGGCAGGCAACAAAGAAGTATCCTCTGCCATCCAGAAGCAGCAAGGCCTAATAGAGGGACTCACCTCTGTTACGGAGACTCTGCCAGAAGCAATTGAAGAAGTCAGAGATACTCAAGCCTCTGAGTTTCACAAGATAGAACTGCTTCTTGGTGACCTCCTTGATGCTGACAAAAAGGGGGGAGAGGAACCGCAAGGTCAAAGCTCCAAAGCTTTAACCATTCAGCCACAGAAACCCTCTGTTGATCCTACTATCTACTTTGAGAGAACCAAGCAGAAGAGGACAACAGAAGTCACTTACAAACCTCCCCTGCATCCAGATCTTCAAAGAAGAAATCCTCTACCTTCTCCTTCTCTGACTGGAACAAGAGCAACCTCTTGAGACCAGAAAGGGAGAAATTTGAAGAAGTCAGAAGAAGGATGACACCTCTTCAGCAAGAAAATGTCTTTCTGGACACTGATGGGCTAGTTCAAGTCCGTCATGGTGGTTCCATAGATGAAGCTGGAGAATGGTGGGCTAAGGAAATAGTCCCAGGAAAAACTGTACAAGAAGGAATCTTGAATTATTTGGACTGCAGACTCTCTCATGCATGGTTAGAGTATCGGAATCCGAGGGACTTAGCCTATATCGGAAAAAGAGTAAATGAAAAACTCAAGTCCTTTGAAGCAGCAGAGGTAGAAGAAGAAGACTCTTAATCTTTTTATCTCTGTATCTTTACTTACCTCTCATGAATAAAATTACTGCTCTGCTTCTCTGATGATTATCTATATCTCTCATCTAACCTCGTCTAACTTCGCTATCTGTTTATTATGTTTTCATTGTATTATTTATCTCTTGTGTTCCTAACTCTTACTGCTTTCCTATGCTAAGTTGTCCACCAAGATTTATAATGAAAGTTTTTAACTTAATTCTTTTTATGGTGAAAGGCACTTCTCTGGAAGTAGAATAAGGGTTTTTACATCATCAAAAAGGGGGAAATTGTAAGAAATAAATTGTATTTAGATTTTGATGATGCTAAGCTAATTAGGATATTAGAGTACCCTTTTTAGAAATCTTGTATTAGAATTTTTCTATGTGTAAGTTTTATCATAGTCGATAGGTCAGAAACATTCTTGGATCTCTGTCTTGACCAGTGTTGCTACCAGAGCTGGTCACCAGAGTTGCTATCAAAACTGGTCACCAGAGTCGCTACCATAGAACCTCATCAGACTTGCTCAGACTTAGAAACATTCAAAGACTTCTCAAATAGTCGTTACAACTAACAGGATATTCCCTAACGGCTGGGAGCCTCTCAACGGAAGTTGCTTCTGTTCATGCATTAAATGCTCATTTAATGAGCTTCACACGTTGAGATATTTAAAGTTGATGATTGACCAGACCAAGATATTCTCGCCCCCAAAATAGCAAGTCGACTACTTTTTGAGGATCAACCGGTCAAATCAATAGTACATGCATTTAATGAAGATGTCCTCTACACTCTAACGAGAAGGCATCTCTGAGTATATAAGATACTCTTCGAAGGACTGGAACCCTAACGATTAAACAACTCTCTCAAAGCACATACATTCAAACGCTTAAAGACTACAACCTCCATTCATCAAGAGCAGAAAGGTTTACAGTTGGAAAAGATTATAAACTCAATATCTTTTCTTTCCAGCGTGAAAAAATCGTTCCTCCAGTTCTTCAACACTTCTAAAGCCTCAACTGCACATCTTTTGTGACGAAGCTACGTTGGAGAAACCGTTTTTTACTCAAACATTTCTTGCAAAAGAAGGGACGTCTCAAAGTAACTGGAGTAGTGAAGTGGAGATACTTTAAGGAGACTCAGTGAAACGAGACCAGTCATCAGGAAGCAAGGACTGCATCCCGGGTGACAGATGGACTTGAAGAAGACGTGGAGAGCTTCTTAAGTGCTAGCTCTAAGTGTTGTAACCCGTGTTTTTACAAGCTTAGTGAAACAGTGGACTAGAGGAACACGTTGTTCCTTGAACCACTATAAAAATCCCTGGTGTCATTTACTTTACATTTCTGCATTAAGATTCTAACTTATTAACTCTCAAAGACTTGGACTTTGTGTTCAGCAGATCTTGTCTTAAGAGTTATCAGAAAGGTATTTGCCTTAGTGTTTTTCTGAGGCTACCCGACCAAAGAACCTCTCTGTCAAGTCTTTTGAGACTTAGAGAAAAGTTTGAAAAGTTGAACACTCTATTCACCCCCTCTAGATTGTTCCTTGTGTAAACGGGACCAACACTTCTTAAACGCATTTTATCATTTCATGGAATATCATTCTGATTTCTTTGAGTAATCTCATGCCTGAGCTCAAAGCATGGCTCATGATCCTTTCTTAAAACCTTTTATGCATACCATTAATTAATCATTAATCATGTCACATTTCCATAATCCATAATTAATACGGGTAATCACAAGTTCACATACCTTTTTATATATTCATTTACTAGATTACTTTAGTTAGTCTCATACATAGTCCAAGTATGCCCTCTTAGACATTTAAGAAAAATATACTCATGATTAATCAATAAATTAATCTATTTTCCATTAATCACATAATGCTTCCATAACCCATATTTAATATGGTTAATCACAAGTTCACATACCTTTTTATATATTTATTTACTTGATTACTATAGTTAGTCTCATACATATTTCAAGTATGCCTTCTTATACATTTAAGAAAAATATACTCATGATTAATCAAATAAATTAATCTATTTTCCATTAATCATATAATACTTCCATAACCCATATTTAATATGGCTAATCATGCATTTTAATCCATTGAATCTTTTATCAAATCATGATTTTTGATTAATTTAGGTAATCCAAAGTTTTACTCAAGATTTACACGTAGTCGTCCACTCACCTTGAAATGATGCTAGCGAGAAAGTGGTTGGAGTCAACGGAGTCACCTTCTCGGAAGGTTTTGATGTTTTCGGTAAACTGGTCTTACTCCAGTCATAACTCCGTTCATGGTTAAAACTATCCTTACAACCCCTCATTCTACACCTCTAGGAGTGTAGAAAAAGATTATGGTCTCATATGATTTATTATAAATCATATATGATATTAAATGAAGGATGAAAAATACTAATTAAGTCATTACCTTGATTTTTCCTGAGTTTTCTTCACTTTCCCAACTCTTTCTTCTTCCTTGAGCATCCCTTTTCTTAAGCTCGATTTTGACTATGAAGAAATGGTGTTGAAGAGCTTCCTATATTGTTTTTGGGTGGTTTGGTCGAAGTGCTAGGGGGAAGGATGTGAGATGGCCCCTTTTGTCTTTGTTACATAATAAATGAGGGAGGGAGGTCCACCTAAAGTCATCCTCACACCAACCCATCACTCTCATCTATTTTACACCACAACCTCTTGTTGTGCAGCCCCCCTTATGTCAAATTGAGTTCACAAAAACGTGGGATGCCATCCCTTTATGTTCCGAAATGTACATCTGATCCTGAAAGTTATATTTTCCAGACTATTTTAATTAAATTTCATTTTATCTATTATAAAACAAGTGATCTGGAATTGATTATTCCTTGTCCTATTACATCAAAGTGTGAGTATATATACACGATATATTTTAAATGAGACAAGTTTACACGAACTTGTGAAGTGGTCCACTGATCTCTAAAATGTAATGCAAGATCAACATTCAATTTGGACATACTAAGACGTTCCTATATAAGTATAGAGCAACATTCATGTCCGGCCTGGTCGGACAGGAGGCTCCTCCGGCCACCTCCATTTGAGTTGGTTCCGAGGTATTTTTGGCTGAATTTTTTTGTGTATGTTCCTCATCAAGTATAGTTCATGCATACCAAATTTGAGCAAAATATTAAATTGGGAAGGTCATCAAATGATTTTTGCATGAAAACTGGTCCGGAATATACATATAAAACGCAGTTTTCATGCAAAAATCATTTGACGACCTTCCCGGTTGAATTTTTTTGCTCAAATTTGGTATGGATGAACTAGACTTGATGAGGAACATACACAAAATTTTTCAGCCAAAAATACCCCCAGAACCACCTCAAATTGAGGTGGCCGGACAGGGGGTTCCTCCGGCTTGGCCAGACAGGAACTTTCGTCTATAAGTATATACCACATCTCCACTCGACGATTGCATATAAGTTCAACTTTTCAGTTTTCATTATCTAATGGAGGTGTCAAATAAGAATGTCTTTAGAATGTAAGTGTTGTCACCCCCCAAAACATCAAATTAAGCAGGGTAACATATGTTCAACTAACGGAAAATAGGCGGGTTAATCATTGAATAGCCTTCATTTTTGCTTCTTGGTTTTACGATCCAGGGCCTTCTTATATCCAGCTTCAAGTTTCCTTTTTAGGTCATTTAAATCTTCATCCCTCACTGTGCCATTTAACTTTTTGTTCATTTCATAGGCTTCACTAAGTCTCTGACAGCATTCTTTGCTAGCTGAACCGTGTGAAACCACTGCCACAGAGAGGATCAGTAGAGAACAGAACACACTTTTGTCTAATTGTTTATAAATAATGATGATGATGATGATGATGATGATGATAAAGAAACTAAATAGTAGGTCTAGACCAGATTCCTGTAGACCACCACAAAACATGATTTCAACACAGAAAAGATATAAATAGAGAGAGATCACAAAATATAAGACCAACCTGGATTTGGATAATCTATTCCAATAACGCATTTCACTTTTTGTTGTACAGAGAGAGGAGCAGTCCATTGCTCATAAATATACTCCTTGGGCATGTCTGTCATTGAAGTGAAACATTCATTTTATGGAGCAAAAATGAGACTGCCAGTAAAAGCTGTTCTAATTAGACCCATAGTGACATAGTACAGTGTACCTTTTAATACAGGGAGAAAATGCCTTATGTACTCTCCGTTGGGATCATATTTCTTCCCAAATGAAACTGGAGAATAAATGTGGTGATACTGAAATAAAATTAAAAAGAGTTGCTATGTTGAAGCAAAAAGAATAATAAATCATTACAAATAACTGATGTAATGATATGATGACCCAATATAGAAGCAAAGATTTGTACCTGGTATGAAAATGAAGAGCAAGAGAGCCACAGCCAATTCCCATTGTTGATTGCCCAATCTGAGTCAATTAGTAATCTCTCAAAAATATCACGTCCTTTCTCCCAATGGATGAACTACATGAACAAAAATTAGATATGAAGAACAAAACATAAGTACTTCGTCACAATTGGTATGGGAATACTTGATAAATTAATAAATACTTGCCAGATCTCCGCGAGTGAGAAAGCATGCTACAGAATGCCGTGCCAGATGATGCATCCAACCCCACTTTCTCAGCTGTGATAATATATAATGTACCAAACATTTCATAATTATTATAAGTTGAGTGCATGATTCTAGCTTAGCTTGTACATTTAGAAACTTAGAAAGCAAAAATAAATAATAAACCTGGACCATTATGGCATCAATCCAAGGAAATCCTGTTCTAGCATCTCTCCAAGCAGCTAGCAGTTCATCATTGTCATTCCAAGGTATCTATTAGAAGAGCAAGCAAGTTACATGCAAACACCCCAAACTTCAGCTTCAACCTTTGTTTTCTCAAAGGAATTGTATCAACACAAGACCTCGAAGATTGCTTCATTATCAATCTAAGATCTAAAAGATAAAAATTAGGGCCCGAATGATTGAAAACTATCAATCTAAGACTTGAAATATCATGAATTTTATTTTTCTTTGAAATATTTGTAATATTTTCTAGTTTTATTTTACTAATACTTTTGTGAAGAAATAAAAAACTATGACATTTTAAGTCTTTGATTGATAATTTCCAATCATTAGGACCTTGTATCGATAATTTTTTTCTTTCAAGTCCTAGATTTATGTAATTCCTTTCTCAAAAGAGGGAACGGGAGGCCAAGAGAGATGTTGAGAGGAGAGGCTAGAAAATGGAAGAACTTGAAATTGGATGGGTGAGGTACTGAAGTATGAGAAGTTTGGAGGAGTCTAGCTCCACCACTTCCCCTGTAGTCCCCCAACTAAAAACACAACACTCCTACACTTTCTTCCCGATCACTAAAACCAAACAAGGTCTTAAAAAATGGTCAAAGATGGTTCAGCATGTGCATAGATACTTGAAATTATGAAGCACGGACACAGGTGCGGGTCAGGGAACAGTGTCTTGAAATTATGTATGTATGTATGCGGTTCAACACGCACGCACGTATACACATAATTACATAAAATATTTATATGCATAAAATGGCAAATGATACTCAAAATATTAAACTTCATGATACTATATTAGAATTTTTCTGACTATTCCACTTCTAATCATGATAAAGCTTATCTCATATGGACTTAAACAATGCAGTAGGCTCCATACGTAACATAGTTCGAGACTAGTGGTAGAAGAATAAGAAGAGTTGAAAGTAGAAGAAGAACAGTAGTAGTCAGTGGTCACAATAGTAGTTGAAGAAGGTCTCTAGCTGTCGTCAAAGATTTTCTGGTTCAGTGTTTAGTTTTTTTAGCCACAACTCTAGTCATTGAAGAAGCAGAATAGAGATGACTAAGAACAATATATATGAGTCTTAGAATGGGTTTTATGTACTTGGAAGGGTTTTATTCGGTTACTTCTTATTCTGGAAAGCCTACTTTACCCAAAATTTCCTCAAAATTCTCTAATCGTAATGCAGACAACTCACAAATTCAATAGTTCTGCTATAGCGCCCGCTACTAGCCTACTACCGCTATAGCGGCTGCTGTTTCTGCTAACGTCAAATACTCCACTACAGATGTTGTAGTAGCACCCAGGTGTCGCTCCATAGCGCATTAGTGACTTCACTGATACATGCACACATACACACACACAAATGGATACATACACATGTAAAATGTAAATATATATAAACGAAAAAAAAGAATACATATACATGTATGTTTGTGGAATTATGGCGACAAACCCTGAAGAATAAGGGTTTCAAGCTGAGCCGAAGCAAGACTGTATATGGAGTGCAAGTTTAGTGGGGTAGAAACAATGTTAACAGTGGGGCCAATTACCTTTGATAGTAAGAAGATCTCATTTGGTGATATGTTGTGTTACCCAGGCTACCTAGGTCAGAAGGACGGTGAATAAGATAAAGATGTATCCTATAGAACCAAAACAGGGCAACTGAAATAGAAAAGTGTGAAGATTTCTATACGACCAATGTATGCCTACTAGACCGAAGGGTAAGTTCTATCGGACATCAATCAAACCTACATTATCGTATGACGTACAATGTTGGGTTGTGAAACAATGTCACATTCAAAAGCTGAGTGTGGTTGAGATGCGCACGTTGTGTTGGATATGTGGACATACTAGAATGAGACAATCATTCTACACCATCTATTGAAGATATGATGCAAGTGTCTTGATTGCGGTGATTTGACAATGTGTCTACAAGACCGAGTGATGCACCTTTTAGACGAATTGAGAGGTGGGGAGAAGAGGCAAGGAGGAGAGGGAGAAGACGACCTAAGACAGACGTAGATCAGAGTGGTTAAAACTGATATGGTACTTCTTGGGTTAGATGAGAGAATGACTTTGGAGAGAAGATAGTGGATAGAGAGTGTACGTGTGGAGAATTGATATTTTTTTATATCCCTTTTTCACTATTTATTATTTTTAACTCTCATGTCATATGTAGATTCATGTTAGCTGACCCCAAACTCTTTTGGGATAAGGTTTGGATGTTGTATACATATATACATACAGTTTGTGCTAGTGCTGCCAGTTGGGGTGTCAACTTATTCAGTGACAGTGACACGATTAAAAGCGGCGATGGTGTTGGCAGAAATGTAGGCTGCAACATCAAATCCGGGGCAGCAGCACTGCAGCAGTTGTGTATGAATTTCTGGCTGAAAGAGAGAAGACAGTGGTGGGAGCAGTGAAGGTGGATGTTCTGGCTCCACTGATCTTTTGTTTTCTAAGCAACCAAAGTTCCTCTTTTCTCGCCTCAACTGTGCTCTGAAATGTATCCTGCAGGGTCCTCGTTTTTGGTGCTGCGATTTTAGTTTTACTTATTATAAACTTTATGTTATTTTTCTAGTTTGGGCCTATTATTAGTAGAGTTAATTTGGGCCTAATTAGGGTTTACTTAATTAGGGTTGGATTAGGGTTTCTGTTGGGTCTGTTACTAGAAGGGTATTTAAATCCCTTGTCAGGAGTCATTCTGACTCATCAGTTAATAAAATTAGACTTCAGCCTTTTGGCTCTAAGCAACGGTTTCTACCGTTTAAAATTACTGGGCAACGGATTCTTGTGTTGATTATTGTTTTCCGTTCTCATCACTTGACCATAAAAAGGATCCAATGACACAATTCAATATTGTATGATGTGGACAGATGACTCTAATTACCACCTGTTTGCATATTTTATTGCCCCTCATACGATCAAAACTAGGAGTTCCAAAAGCAGCTGTGTAGAAAAAATCTCTCCAAAGCAGCTGCATAAGTTAAGAACTTGGTCATCCTGTTTACAAAATCTACAAGCCGACAACTACTTATAGCAGCAAAGAACTAACCTGTCCAAGAAGAGAAACAGGTGGAGATGTGTGCTTTTTAACAGTTCTTAGAACTTCCTGAATTGACTGATAGAAATATCTACAAGAGAGACAGCCAAACTTTCCGAAAAATGTAAATGCCAAATGGATAAGAATGATCTAACAACGAAGTACTAATGTCTTGCAGATCTTATATGACTCACTTTTAAGTAGGGAGATAAGACAGTTGTGGCAGGCCTTAAAAACGCAGATGGGTTGCCCCTGGGTTTCTCAAAATCTGCCACCCATTCCTGCAAAAATGAAAACATAATTCCAAAAAAAATAGTTTTGGCTGAGTGTATCAGGATTTGGGTCTTATTTTAGTGTTACTGAATTATGGCCTAATTTTAGATTCAAATTGTTATAGAGGTATTTGTAATAAGTATTACATACTACCTCCGTTCCCCTAACATTGATACAAGAGAGGTGGTGCAGTTATCAAGAAAAGTGAGTTTTTGTGGTTAATATTGAATTGATAAAGTGATAATAAAGTAAGAATCTACAAAAACATTACCAAATTTGGTATGAGACAATTTTAGTTGGACGGACAAAAAAGAAAAGATGAGACAATTTTAGCGGGACGGGGGGAGTATTATGTTAGACATGCAGCAAAGCAGCCGGTAGAATTTTATAATAAAGTGTATAAAAGAAGAAGTAATAAGACTGCTGCTAATAACTAATAACTAACGGATTGGTTAGTTAGTTAGTCTGTTGTCCCTGCGTGGACCTTTACTATAAATAGAGGTGTTCAGCTAGCAGAAGTAGGTTGGAATTTGGCTAGAACAGGACTGGGAGACTGGACATCTCGAATTGTCTAAGACTTGTATACTTTGATTTTGATGAATAAAGTGTGTGTTCTGTGTGTTGTTCATTGATGCTATATTGTTCTAAGTTGTTGGGATATAACTTCATCATAAGGTATAGACCTGGGATAGAAAACAGGGCTGCTGATGCTCTATCTAGAAGACCTATGCTCCAGTCTCTTTCAATTGTGACATGTCAAGAATGGGAAGGTTTGGAGGAAGAATTGAAATCTGACATCAAGTGTGCAGAGTTAATTCAGAAAGTGATTTCTTATCCAGATCAATACTCAGAATTTCAGATTATCAAAGGCTTGTTGTATTATAACAAGAGATTGGTTCTACCACAAGGATCACCCAGAATCACCAAGATCATGACGGAATATCATGAATCTGCAATTGGAGGGCATTCAGGGTATTTTAGAACAACGAAGAGAGTATCCAGTCTTTTCTTTTGGCAGGGTATGAAGAAGGATATCAAGAAATGGGTGGAAGAATGTGTGGTTTGCCAGACTAATAAGTATCAAGCTTTAAAACCTGCAGGACTACTACAACCACTCCCTATTCCGAATAGCATTTGGACAGACATTAGCATGGACTTCATTGGAGGCTACTATTTTAGTCATTGTGGATAGATTGACTAAATATGCTCACTTTATTGCTTTATCACATCCCTACAATGCTAAGGAGGTGGCTGATGTGTTCATTAAAGAAGTGGTCAGACTACATGGGTTTCCTAAAACCATAGTCAGTGACAGAGATGGTGTCTTCCTCAGTGCTTTTTGGTCAGAACTATTCAAATTAGTTGGGACACAATTGAAGTACAGTACAGCTTACCACCCTCAGACTGATGGCCAGACTGAGGTGGTTAACAGATGCTTGGAAACTTATCTCAAGTGTTTGACTGGAAGAAAACCTAAGAAATGGCTTAACTGGTTGCATTGGGCTGAGTATTGGTACAATACCAATTATCATGCTGCAATGAAAATCGCTCCTTACAAGGCCTTGTTTGGACAAGACCTTCCTGCAGTAATAAGGGGAGATGTTACACTTGCTGCTGTAGAAGAAGTATCCAAGTTGACTGCTCAGAGGAATATTATATTGGATGAGTTGAAAGAGAATTTGGCAATGGCACAGAATCAGATGAGGCAGCAAGCCAATAAGCACAGGAGAGGTTACATTGGAGATACGGGATCAGGTCTATTTGAAGATCCAACCTTATAAGCTAAGGAGTTTAGCAAAAAGGATAAACCAGAAGTTAAGCCCAAGATTTTATGGTCCATTTGAGATGATTGATAAGCTCAGTTATGTGGCCTTTAAGCTGAAGTTGCCAGAAGATAGCAAAATACATCCTGTATTTCATATCTCTTTGCTAAAAAAGGTTATCTCATCTACTACCTACTATCAACCTCTACCAAAGTGTCTGACTGAAGAATTGGAGTTACAGGTGGTGCCAAAAGAAATTTTAGACACAAGGGTTGATGCAGAAGGTAATCTGGAGGTATTGGTTCACCGGAGTAATCTGCCACATTTTGAGGATTCTTGGGAGTCCATGAGAATTATCAAAGAACAATTTCCAGAGCTTCACCTTGAGGACAAGGTGAATTTCCAGGGAGAGAGTATTGTTAGACATGCAGCAAGGCAGCCGGTAGATGTTTATAATAAAGTGTAGAAAAGAAGAAGTAATAAGACTGCTGCTAATAACTAATAACTAACAGATTGGTTAGTTAGTTAGTCTGTTGTCCCTGCGTGGACCTTTACTATAAATAGAGGTGTTCAACTAGCAGAAGTAGGTTGGAATTTGGCTAGAACAGGACTGGGAGACTGGACATCTCGAATTGTCTAAGACTTGTATACTTTGATTTTGATGAATAAAGTGTGTGTTCTGTGTGTTGTTCATTGATGCTATATTGTTCAATATTGTGTGATCCGTGATCTATCATATTACTTAGGACACGTTTACTTCACGGGTTATTAACCGGTGCTTATTAAGACTTACAATCCTCGAATTAAAATCTCCGACCCCCTCCTGATCCTAACTAGGATCTCGAGATAAACAATCTTGAAGATAGCACTCTTAATCGGACTAGAACTCTAGTTCCTCTTTATAAACTGCACCTAGAGGCCTTTCAACTAACAAGATTGAATAAAATATTATTTATGGCCAATGGTTCAAAACTAGTCCAAGACACCAACCACTATTACTGTTAGCTCATTGGTAAGGTGAGAGATTCAAGCCCAAAATATGGTGGGACTGGTGCCAGAGTCCAATCTCAGAAAAGCTTGAGGGATCCTCTTGCTTAGATCCTTGTATGACGTTGTGATATTTCATATTTTTTCTTTGTACACTTCAAAATCAAGTAATCCTATTTTCCAAGGAAGAGAAAGTAAGGAACGGGGGCTAGATTGAGGTTGGGATACAAAGCCTTGTTTGATGTACTAGTAGAACTTTGAGACTTTCCAAAGACCATATCAGATTTGCATGTTCGTTTCACAATACCAATCATGTAATATATATAAAATAAAAATACTTTAACTCATTGCTATCTCATTATATACTCCATACAAGTGGAAATGAGCTTAAGATGATTGTGAAAGACATTATAGAATATTCTTTAGAATATGTTTTAGAATATTCTTCTACCTTTAGAATATGCTTTAGAATATTTTAGGAATATACTCTAGGATATTATTATTGTATAGAATCTTAAAGGAATATTCTATCTTTGTAATGTATATATATATGGGCTTGACCCTCCAATGAAAGACACACAAAAATCATTCTTCTCATTACTATTCTATCTTTAATTCTTACAACATGGTATCAGAGCCATCTGTTCCAGTTTAGCTTAGCAATATTTTTCAGAATCTCAGTTCATGCCTCAGCCAGAACCTTAGCCCAAAATTCAGAACCTCAGTCCAAAATCCACAGTTTCACAGAGCATCACCTCCACCCTAAGCAGTCACGCCTTCCGCCGCCGACCTTACACTCGAAATCCGCAGGCCACACGCGCCGTCAGAGGACCTCGCAGACCTAATCGCAGACCCAATCGCCGCAGAATCCATCGGAACTATTTTCAGGTGTCTTGAACGGTATTATCTTTCTGTGACTTTGCTTATTAAGTAACGACGACATTCAAGGATAGTATTTTGGTCGCTGTAAGTTTACTTAATACATAGCTTCTTATTTCTGCAATTAAAATAAAAAAAAAAGTCAAAAAAAAAAGTCAAAAAAAAAAGTCAAAAAAAAAAAATTCAAAAACAAAAAAAAAATGCCTGGTTCTGATACAGACACTTCCACCGTACAACATGCTCAGCCTTTGGTAGTTTCCGAAGTTATTCCCATTAATTTTAAAATTACTGAGCATAAACTTTGTGGCTCTAACTATCTTGAATGGAGTAAAACTATCAAACGTTATTTACGAAGCATTGATAAATACACCCACTTAGTTGATGACCCGCCAAAGGCGGAGATTGATAGAGCTGTTAATGCTGTCTGGCTTCGTGATGATTCTAGATTATGGAGAATGACGTCATGGGGTACGTTAGTCATTGTGATACTGTGAAAGAACTCTTTGATTATTTGGAATTTATGTATTCTGGCAAAGGTAATCTTAACCACATCTATGAGGTGTGCAAAGCCTTTTACAGGGCAGAAATGAAAGATAAGCCTCTCACAGCTTATTTTATGGATTTCAAAAAAACGTATGAAGAACTTAATACCTTAATGCCATTTAGTCCTGATATCAAAGTGCAGCAGAAACAACGCGAACAAATGGCAGTCATGAGCTTTTTGGCCGGTCTTACGTCTGATTTTGAAACAGCCAAATCACATATCCTATCTAGTGATGTGGTCTCTTCTCTTCAAGATGCTTTCAGTAGAGTGCTTCGCACTGACACTTCATCCACATCATCGGCACCTCAGCCAAGCAATGCTTTTGTAGGGCAAGTTCCAACATTCCCCAATGGAGGTGAGAAGTGGCCACGCACAGGACCGATTGGCAAAGGAGTAGTATGCAACTACTGTAAGAAACCCGGACACTTGATCAAAGATTGTCGAAAGCTAAAGTTCAAAAATCAAGGAAATCAAGTCGCTCACATTGCTTCCGCTACACAACCATCTAATGGATCCATCATTATGTCTTCGGAGGAATATGCCAAATTCCTAGGTTACCAAGAGGCTCTAAAGCATTCATCTACTCCTATCTCAGCTGTAGCTAATTCAGGTAATCCAAACACATGTCTTGTATCTTCATCCTCAAAATGGGTTATCGATTCAGGAGCAACAGATCATATGACAGGTAATCCTAGTCTTTTTTCCTCATTCCACACACCTCTTCATACTTCTAGTGTGACTTTGGCTGACGGATCTACGTCACCCGTTCTTGGTACGGGTACAATTGTCCCAACATCTACCTTACCTTTGTCACTCGTCCTAAGTCTTCCAAATT